TTTCTCTCTTGTTTGAAAGACTTTTGTCTTATGTAGTGGCTGACTTTTGGGTTTTCCAAGAAAATTATCAAAAAAAGGAAATTTTTAGGACAATACACTAGCAGTTGTTTTAGATTATAGTTTATAGACTTTCATAAAGTAATTAATTTGATATTATATATAATAAATTTTCTAATTCAAAATTTAGAAATAATATTATACTTAACTAATAAAATAAAATTAATTATTATTTACTAGAATTATTGTTAATAGTTTATTACTGTTAACCTATAAATTAATAATGCAGTGAATGTACTTTCAAGTTACCATCTACGAATTACCGATTCAATCCCATTAAAGAATGATTTATGTAATATAAGTTATATTGTATAAGAATACATACTAATTAGCCATATATACACTTTACATAATCAATTTATAGAAATCTACCATTTGATCACAGTGTAATAAATTAGATCAGTTAGTATTATGATGAAAACTACAATAGATAAACATGTTTGAGAAAGACTTAAGATCTCATTTGATCAAAAAATACTCCTGTAAGTTATACCTGAAGAATAATTAAAAATGGTCACAATGAGAGATTATATGTCACTCACATAATATACTATTGAACTGCCAGAATATTAACACATGACTGTTGTGCAAGAAAAAATCAATATTTGAATCAACTTTCTAAGAACTATATATGATAGAAATTATCTATAATATCTATTATTATTAGGCAATAAACAAGACCATATTAAGGAATACACATTATAAATTCCTTAAAGATTAGTAATAAGAAGTATATAGTGAATCTTCAGAACATTATAGGCCTGAGAAAAGCAGAACAACTAACAAAAATAGTGTCACTATATGATAAAATTAACAAACTTGACTAGAGATAGGTAGTTTAAAAAAGATTATATAAATTACTCACATAATCTAAAAAATGTACTATTGATATTTCAATAAAGATTCATTTTGTTGATTAAACTAGTTAAAAAAAAAAATAGTTTATTACTATTAGTTAATTTAAAAATTAATAAATCACTAAGTTAAAAAGAAGAAAAAAAATAATAATGAAAAGAAACAATTCATAATTTCACCAAAAAGTCCAAAACAAAATTATTTTTTTTCTTAAAAAAATTATTTAATTAAAATATTTTTTTTATTTACTTGAATTTTAGAAAAAATCTTTTTTATTATTACTTGTAATATCAGTTGAATTAATTTAACTAATCTATTATTTAAATAAATATTAAATTGAAATAACTTAAGAAAAGTATAAAAATATTTGATTTTGTTCATTAAGCTTTAATATTATTTGAGTACTTATATAAAAGATAAAAATCTACAATTTTATTACTTATCTTTTAATTTTTGATATTATAAATATCTTTTTTAAAACCCTTAAGTTTAAAAAAATAAATATTTCAAAAACATTCTTTTTAATCATCAATAATATCATAAAAAATATATGAGTATAATTAATAGAAGCTTGTTTTATTCTATAAATTAAAAGGTTTCATAATAACTAATTATTTTTAATAAAAATTTATATTACTTAAAATTCAATATCAAACTAAAATAGACAAAATTTTTTAAAAAACTATAAAAATTAAAGTTTTAAAAAAGTCAAAACAATTAAAAAAAAAGAAAATAATTTTTTTTATTACAAAAAAAATTATTAACCTCTTATTTCAAAAATTAAAAAAATCATTAAATACTTCTTATTTTTTTTTTCTTTAAAAACTTTTTCTTATCAATGATGTTAAAAGTATTATTGGATTTTTGTTAATTATTAGGAATCAAGTTTTTAAGTAAAGAAGTTTGCAAATAAAAAATAAAAAGTAAAAACTAATTTTAAAATTCTATTTCAAAAAAGGTATTAAGATTTTATTAATAAAGAAATAAAAAAATTTTCTTACAAATATTTTGTTTATATATAATCAAAAAATTTCTAGAAAAAGTTTTTTATCTTTGAATATATTTATTATACAATATATTTGAATATTTATTTATTGTATTTTATTTTCTTTTCTTTTGTCTTTTATCAGATTAATTAGGAATAAAATTTTTTATCTACTGTATTATTAGATTTATATGATTTATCTTTATTATAGATTAATAAAAATAATTTCAATTTAAATAACTTTTATATATTAGATTATTCATTATTAAAATTTCTTTTTCTAGATATAGCTTCAAAAATAATATTTTGTTTTCTTTATAGTTTAAATTTTTTTTAATTATAAAGTTTAATGCTTACAGATTATTATTATAAATTATTCAAGATTCAATTTAATAGATTAAAAATATAATAATTTTTTTTTTGTTTTAACTATTTTTTAATAATATTTTTCAAGAAAGTAATATTTCCGAAACATATATTTTTTATTTTATTCTTTTTAAGTATAAAAACATTTCCTTCTTCAAGATCTATTATAGTATATCAGTTTTGTTTCTTGAAACCTTATATATATATATATATATATTTTGTATTATACCTATAATTTTCTTTTATTTAAATATCTCAGTATAATAATTATTTTGATTTTTTTTCTAAAATTTTTATATATTTTTTGACAAAGTTTTTTAATTATTCTTTTTATGATAATTGATTTTATTTTATGTTAATCTTTGAGGTGTTCTTGAATTTTTTTAACTTTATCCATATATAGATAGTTACAAACCAGTAATTTGAAAAATGTAAGGTAGTGACAAACTGCTGACAATGATAATGGGAATTAAAAGGGTGTTTATCCAAAATCCCTATCAAAATAAAATACTGTTTCCAAGGTCAAACTTAAAGGCTCTTATGCTTAAGACAAGTTTGTTAAATATGACATAAATGTTTAGCTATAGTATTTTTTCATTCTGCTCTGATAAATATGTACTTTGTTTTCTTAAAGATTAATAAACTGCTATCTAGCCTGGCTGCGGATAATTAAAAAAAAATAAAAAAAATAAACCTTTTGATCTATATTATTTTAAAAGGATAGTTCAAGAATTTATATATTTTTAGGATTAATGTTTTATTTTTATTTACAATTATATATTCTTTATTAAGATTTAATTTTAGTTCTTAATATAAACGCGTCTTTTAAAGCGCATAACACAACACGTTTCCCGATCGGAAATTAATCATATGATATAAAAACCGGTTTAATAACAAAATGCTTTGGATCTTATTTTTTTTTTTTTTAAACGAAAAGAATGGATACTCAAGAACAGTTTATCCAAGTTCACTCACTCTATGATACAATTTTAATTCTTGATTTTGGTTCGCAATATACGCATTTAATCGCTAGGCGAATACGCGAGTTTAATGCGTATTCCGAGATATTACCCTGTACACAAAAAATTAGCGAGTTACACTTTAAACCGAGAGGTATTGAATGTTCTCCTCAACCATATAATTATTTGATGGAGGAAAACACTAATACAATTAATGTAGGCGTGATTCTTTCGGGAGGTCCTTATTCTGTGTATGATCACGATGCTCCTCGGGTGGATAAGGAGGTGTTTAATCTTGGCGTACCAATTTTAGGAATTTGCTACGGACTTCAAGTAAGATTCTATGAAAGGGAGAATTGTCTTAAGTGTGAAATGATTTAATCAGTTGAATTCAGGAGATCGCATGGAATTTTGGAGGATCAGTTACAGCTTGCGACCGCAGAGAATTTGGTCACGCATTATTAAGCATCGTTAAGCACCAAAGCCATCCATTAATTGATGGGTTATTTGATGGGTTGGAAGGTGACATCCAGGTATCTAGTTATTTTTTATTTATTTATAAAACCATGTTATTAATGATATATTCCAGCTAACTTAATTCGTCATTTCTAGGTTTGGATGAGTCACGGAGATCAGATAGATAAAGTTCCAGAGGGATTTAAAGTCATTGGCCAAACGGAAACATCTCCATTTGCCTCTATCGCGCACGAAGAAAAGCATTTTTTCGGAATCCAATTTCATCCTGAGGTTACCCATACGCTTCTAGGAAAAAATATCTTAAAAAACTTTGTTATCAAGATCTGTAAATGTAAAAATGATTGGACCATGGTTCGTAATTTTCTTTCTACATATCCTTTATTTTAGGGGAAGGGGAGGAAAATTTTGATAGCAAAAAAATTTTTAGGAATCATTCATTGATAAAGAAATTACAAGGATCCGGCAAATAGTTGGGCCTAATGGTCAAGTAGTTGGTGCTGTGAGCGGCGGTGTTGACAGTACTGTCGCCGCTAAATTGATGAAAGAAGCTATCGGCGAAAGGTGGGGGTGCAATTTTTATTCAATTATATAATAAACATATTAATAAAAAAAATTTTTTTTCCATTCCAATAGATTTCACGCTGTCCTTGTCGACAACGGCATGATGAGACTTAACGAATGTCAGACGGTCAAGAAACAACTCGGCGATCGCCTTGGAGTTAATCTCAAAGTAGTGGATGCTTCCGATAAATTTTTCGATCGCCTTAAAGGAGTGACAGACCCGGAGAAAAAGCGAAAGATAATTGGCAATCTCTTTATTGAAGTTTTCGAGTCGGAAGCGGCTCTAATCGATATCGAGACCAAGGAAAGTGGTCATTGTTCAATTGAATATCTTCTCCAAGGTACCCTTTATCCGGATGTCATAGAGAGCATCTCAATTAAGGGACCTAGTGCCACGATCAAATCCCATCACGTACTGTATTTTCGATTCTTAATTGAGAGATTCATTATGAATAATCATACGACTAAAGTTACTCTTTATGTTATAGAATGTAGGTGGATTGTTGAAGGACATGAAGCTTAAATTGATCGAACCCCTTAGGGAGCTATTCAAAGGTTAACACATTAGCATATGCACTAGATTCATATAAACCGTGTATTGTCACCAGAGTAAATCACCTGCGGATGCCTTTATTTTTTAAACAGATGAAGTACGTGAGCTAGGAAAAGTTTTGGGCTTATATGATGAGTTAATTTGGCGCCACCCGTTCCCTGGACCCGGAATTGCAATTCGCATATTGGGTGAAGTTACGCCGAGTCAGGTTGCGATTGCTCGTTTAGCTGATCATATCTATATCGAGGAAATAAAGAAAGCCGGACTTTACCAAAAAATTTCACAAGCCTATGCCGCTTTGTTGCCAGTCAAAGCAGTGGGTGTTATGGGTGATAAAAGGACATATGAACAAGTCATTGCCTTGAGAGCAGTGGAGACTACGGACTTCATGACCGCCGATTGGTATAAAAATTTTCACAGATATTATTCCAACTTTCGTCACATTTAAAAATCCTATTTTATGAAATTAGGTTTCCTTTTCCTTATGATGTTTTAAAACGTATTAGCAATAGAATAATAAATGAAGTAGCAGGTAATAAGGTGTTATCATCATCTGACGATATTTTAGTAATTCATTGGTATAACGGGAAGAATTTTTTATAGGCGTTAATAGAGTTGTATATGATATTTCGAGTAAACCACCAGCTACTATAGAATGGTAAGTTCTTATCATTTGCAAAAACGAAATTTTAAATAACTAAATGGTTTTTTTTTTTGGAATTTCAGGGAGTAATTAATAGAAGGGAGGTATGTATTGAGTAACTCGCGTTAAGATTAGATTGTACAGACACGAGGGAGATCTTGGAGCTTTCTTGTGAATGGAATAAAAAGTTGAGAGATTTGCAAAGGAAATACGAGTGATCGTCCGCCTAATAATTTATCATCAAGTTAGTGTTCCGATATTTTGCCATCCCGTGATGTATAATTTCGTGAAAATGAGTTAAAACATGCGAATTGATAGTAACATCATATCGAGCTTGTTCTATATTTACAAAAAAAAAAAAAAATACAATTTGTATGCAAAAGAAAGATTCACATTGTTAAACCCCAATACTTCAGACATCGATATGCTTTTTCTCAGTGATATCAACTCCTTTAGCTTTTTCAACATGCATTTCTCCTGAAGGATCAAATTCTTCCTCAACGTTAATCTCCTTTGTGGAATCAACAGCCCCGTTAGTTTCTTCCCCCATTTGCATTTTTCCCGTGGGGTCGACTCCCTTAGCTTTCTCCTCATCGTGCTCCTCTACAAAGTTGATTCCTTTAGCCTCTTTTCCAATTGCAACGAAGAAAATTAGCAAGACCAGAGCACACGCTACGAAAAGTGCTTGTGTCATCCCATAATTTGGAACACCATCTTTTGGAAATTTTTCTCCTAATATTGCTTCAATTTGAGAAGATGAAGCGGCAATAAGATTGCCTAGTTGATAAGTTAAGCCAGGAAATGTTCCACGAAAACCTGGTGGCGATAGTTCATTCAGGTGAGCTGGCACAACGCCCCATGCTCCCTATTGGAAGGAAAAACACATAAGAAAAAACGCATT